CATCGTAGATTAGAAAAAAATTTTCAACGTTATTAGCATTTTTGGGAAGAAAGTATCTTCACTCTGCGTGATGCAAAAGCAGTTTAGAACAAAATAAACAATGCTTTTTGAAAGTAGCCTTCGAGTCCAATTTTATTGCTATACGACTTTTTTACAAAATTATAACAGTTTATATTTAGTGTCTGAATACTAATAAGAATCACTGACTCGAATTTTCTCTCTGTTTCTCAATGTTCTCGTCGAGCAAAATAATCCTAAAAGATCCCCAAATATACGATATGTACCAGCAGTATCACTGATTATTCAAAACTCACTTAGAATAGCTTAATTCCGATCTGCGCATCGATTGGGAATTCGGAAAATACGAAAGAAATTAATGACATAAAGTTGCCTTCCGATCGAGGGATCACTCGTAGCAGGCAGAGCCATACGAGTCAGATGATATTTCTCCAGGGAACTCTTCCTCGTGACTGAATCAATAACGTAAATTTCTTAGCACACCCTAATACCTCCCTTTGCGATGCTTTACCACGAGGTTTCTAATAAAACTATATAATTCCTCTAATTAACAAACAGGAATAACAAACTACGTGCAAAATAGAGGTTGGAGAAAATCAGGTCGAAGGCTCCTCACTGTTTTTATACCGTTGTTTTTACTCGTTGAGTTATTTCACGGGAGGAAATTGAAATTAGAATATAAATGAACATAATTAGTACATAACATATGTATATATATATATATATATATATATATAGAACATAATTGTACAGGGTGCTCCAAATAAATGTTACAAGTCATTTTCTCGGAAATCGTAGCAATTACTTTATTTTCAATTAAAGGCTGATTATTTTAAGCGGTTGTTAATAAGATATGACATATGGCTCGGTCTACTTTTTCAAATTACTTCTTCCCGATTTATTTTTTATAGTAGAACCACCCTCTCCTCGTTACTGGAACGTCCGCTTTACCATACTCTGTATAGTAAATATTTATCGTACAATGTGCGGTAATAGATACGGATTTTAATAGAAAGTAGCACGAAAATGGCATCACACGGTACATGTTATATTGAAAAAAAATAAAAAAGAAAGAAATAGAGATGAAGAAACTGCGAAATTGCAGATGTTCCTTCGTTTGAAAAAACGATTTCATGGTTCATCCGTGAGTTATCGTCGTCAGGCTAGCGCTCGTTAATCGAAGCAGCTGATGTCGATGTAATCGCGTTGATGACCGAAGTATAAAGTCCCCGTGAGTGATATTGTTGTTGTGATATCGGCAACACGTTAGGCATTGGCTTGACAGATGTGAGTGTGACCGATAGATAGCCGAGATTTAATTAAAACGTGCTCTGCGCCGTTCCCTACGGTGGCAAACAATCGTGAAATCGTTTCGTATCAGATGAGCGTTCGAAAAAACAATAGGTTTTGTTTAGATTGACGAGCAACAGATCCGTCACGCTCCGGAGACCAAACGGAATTGCTCGATTTAGCGCTTATATATCCTTTTCGTCGACGTCTCTCTTTCTACCCTATCTAATTAACTAATTCTATCATTACGGTCTATTCTTTGAAATTTTGCCACTTAAATTGGAAGAATAAATTACGATATCGTCTGGCTTAAGTACACCGATTTGCACGGATGGATTTAACGACCGGCGAAAGCGTCCAGTGCAATTTGCTTTGCGTATTACAGCTAACCGCTTTTTTTTTTTTTTTTTTTTTTTTTTTGCTTCTGCTACGTTCTAATGCTGCTCGATTTGCGTTGTAGCTCGAATATATCTCCTCGTCAAGATCCTTGACCGACTCTTAATTATTACGACTGCAGGAAAGCACGATCGATTTTTCACGCAACATAAATATTTGCACAATTTAAATCGTGTTTCTAAAAGGAAGAATTTACTTTGTCGTAAATTACAGAGAAAACGTGTAGGTATCTAATTGTCGGAGGCAGCTACGATTTACATCTTTTCTCGGGAACAGTTTTGATTTCAAACAGAAGCTTCCCCGTCGGCATTTCTGAGAGTATGCGAATGTAAAAAACGAGCTGGAGCTAATATCGAAAATGAAAATGGAAATCCAAAATTATTCATTGCTTTCCTTTCTAAGAAAACCGATGAAAGAAATGACAAATTACCGGCGTTAAGATAGCTATATCTCTTCCTGATAATCCCCATGTATCACAGCCGTGTTTCCAAGTCACGGCAAACGACTGTTCGGAATTACGCAATTGTTTTTAATTTCTTACTATCTCCGTTGAAATTAAAGCACCAGTAGGACTTAGTACAGTCTTTATCTCGAAATAAAATTCTTATTTCTTCGATTAATATCCGTTCAACTAAATAAAGTTCAAGATAAAATGAAACAAAGCCATTTATATGAAAGCTTCTTAAGCAGATAAAACCTGAAAAACACATATCAATATAAAATCAAATAATATACAGGGTGGTTTGTGTGATTTGATCACCTCAAATAACTTGTAAGGTATGCGTTGTATGAAAAAACTTTTTGTGCATAATTTGAAAAGACACATTATACGGTGCATGTATTTTTTTTTTTTATAAATAGTGGCGTTTTTGAAATCATCTTTATTTTTTTTTAAACGAATAATATATTTTTTGATTCATTGATCGATGCAATTTGTTATTAGAAGAACTAATCTATGTATGTCGAAAAATCATTAATTTAGGAGATATTTACTTACAAAATGAACGTCCTCACGGATTTTATTATGTTATTATCGTCGTTTCGGAGATTTTCGTAAAAATATTTTTATTACTGTATCGTGTCTCTAATCTTTGGTATCTTTGGTATCTTTTATCGTATCTCTAATGTTTTGGAATATATTTGTATTAATTAAAATTATCAATATTGGCTTTGGGATAGATTTAAATACCTATACTATATAGATATATAGGATACGATAGCTTTAATATAAAAATATAAAATTTAAACGAAGGATAGAATCAGTTATTGTTAGTTGTCAGTCATAAAACAAATTTTGTGATGCATACAAACAAAATATAGAAAACTGGCGAGCAAACACGTCCACGCAGAACATATTATGCAAGCTACATTGTAAGCTGAATTTTTGTTTCGACGGCAATGTAATTGACAGCTGAATTTTAACATTATATTTTAAATATGACCCAATTTCAAATGACAATAATATAATATAATATTTAATATGAATTGTAGTTGTTATTATTTAATACTAACGACATGCAACGAATATTTTATAAAACTTTGTTAAAGTCATAAATCTAATCCGAGTCTATATTGTCAGTTTTAATTAATACAAACTTTTTTTATTTCAAAAGAAAGATAAGATATAAAATGATAAAAATATTTTTGCAAATATCTCGAAAACTGAAACCGAACGGCAGTAAGATGTACAGGGAAAAATTGTTCAGAATCATGCTCTTGATAACATATTTCATCAAAATCCGTGAGATCTTTCGCTTTGTAAATAATTATTATTTCAACTTTAATTTTATAAAATCAATACAAAAATACTGCGTCTTTCATACGACAGATTTTACAAAATTAAAATAAAAATATTTCCTAATAATCATTCGACATACCGACGACATGGATTAATACTTTCTTTTTATACAGAATATCGAGTTGCATCTATTAATGGATGAAAAATTATACCATTGCGTTCATAAAAATGGAGATGCCTTTGAAATCTCACCTCCACATATAAAAAACTTTTGTATAAAAAAATCTTTCCATACAACGCTTATCTTAGATGTGATCGAGCGAATTACTCGCAGCCATTCTGCATATGTGTTTTTCCTCGATTCTCCAGGGAGAAATTTTGGCGTTACGCGCAATCGTCATGGTATAATGAAATCCTAAATTGCTACTTGCCACAGAATGGGGAGGAAGTTACGATCGTGTTGCGACAATAGAGAAGCCGTGACGGAACAGAACGGAGGCTTAATCAACGAAGGCTAATGTCTCGGAAAATAGGAACGTGTTGAGAAAGTCTCAAGGTTGTACATGGCTACTACTAACCAAATCGATGATCAGTTTTGAATACATGCAGTGTGCATAGTTTGTTGCCGCACGGCAATTCTGTAACAAGGCCCTTTGACGATAATTCGGAAATTCAATCGACAGCAAGCACTTGCAGGCGAAGCCGTAAACGCGTTAGCATAACGTACGAAAAGGCGTCACGCGGGGAAATGGTTAATAAACGGAATGCACGCTGCCGGTGAAAGTTCTTAGTTTCTCTGTAAATAGCAAGAACACTTCCTCGCTTTATCGTTTTATCTTAAATGCAATTTGCTCAGTGATTTATTCGATCGTAGTCGGGGCCGACTTTCAATGAATTTTTTATTCGATCATCAGATGCATCAAATGCGCTATCAGGGGTATCGGGGAAAAGAAATTTAGGTCGAGTCGATCCAGGCGATTCGTTTTATTAATTTCGCCAGCCGTTCGCAAACAAAAATAAAGGTAACTCGAGGCCGAACGTGTACGAAGTCGGTAAATTTTCTGTCGGAAGGGAGGGGAGAAAAAAAAACACGGGCACACCGCCAGAGCCAACAATTTTATCACTTTCCCGAGGAAAAGGTAGAACTTCTGCCGAGTTCTCGGCCATATTTTCTAACCGTTCGTTTTATATTCATGGCGTGTCTCTCAGTACCAAACCGATTGCAAATAAACCACGTTATCAGATGGAAAGTCAAGATATAAGATAGCTATACAAGTACACACGCGTGTACCTAAATTCATTCGTATTCACCTGAATACCTAAAAATGTCAACTATCGTTAAGGAGTTTTAATATTCCTCTCCATCGATCTCTAACGCAGTACGTAACTTTCGTTGCGAGCTTACGAGATTACGAAAACTTCGTAAATGAACAAATTAGAATTGCAAATTTCTTTCTTCTAGATAATACTGGACGATGCTTAAAAGAATACTCATTAACACAGGCAGCCATGCGGATATGTAAAAATGATCTTGTTTTCTGTTTGATCTTTGTTTCAGACAGTATCCGTGACCGTCAGCATACTGACTCTGACTTTTATATCGATAGATCGATGGTACGCGATATGCTTTCCCTTGAGGTTCAAGTCTACCACGGGACGAGCGAAAAACGCGATTATCGGAATTTGGGCAATAGCCCTTTTATTTGGTAGTTAGATATAAATTCCTTACACAGTATCTATTGAACGTGTAGTTCATATTTAAAGCACGTTTCTTTATGGAATAGTTCATTTTGAAATTAATTACACGACATATTGTTTCGAGCTATTAACAAATTATGAGAAAAAAAAAACCAATGCCAACCAATATATTCAATGTTTGTGCAGATATTCCGGATCTCCTGGTGTTGCATACCGTTCCACCTACGCATATCAAAATAAAGACCATTTTGTTCACGCAGTGCAACATGTCGTGGAGTCAAAGGAGCCAGGTTACCTTCACTATCGTCAAACTAATTTTCCTTTATACCGGACCTTTGATCTTCATGAGCGTAGCCTACTGGCAGATTGTAAAAGTCCTTTGGAGAAGCGACATTCCAGGACATAATTGTAAGGCAAACGATCGATCTTTTCTTCTTTTTTTTTTTTTATATTTTGTACTCTACGAAGAAGACTATGGATAGTTTACAGCCTAAACACGTAATATAACGGTACCATAAAATATTTATGGAATGGACTTGCTCGTATCGCCGACATCTTTTCTTACTCCGTTAATACTCAATATACCATTAATGTTAAACGTAAATTTTAATCCATAACTAACTTGTTTAACATGACATTTATTCTTTCCGTGGATGTTTAAAATGTTTGTGTACGCTATACGCTAAGCGTTTAAACTGTGACCAATCAGTAATGTATAAATCATAATTGTAGCGGCAAAAAAGAAAGCGATAAATGTACGATATGAATAATTATACAAAGTATTCGCAGTGTCATCATCACGAGCATCCCAGATGAGTCAAATTCCACCGACCGGTGGAGGAAATCCCGAAGTGCAATTGAGATCTCGACGAAAAGCGGCAAAAATGTTAGTCACGGTGGTCATCACTTTTGCCATTTGCTATTTCCCTGTACATTTACTCTCCGTTTTAAGGTATCCGTTTTATTAATCGATATATCACATAATCATTCAATTCATTCTATGCTTCAACTATGAATGGGCACGTTATATGACAGTTAGGATAAAAACAACAATCATTATTTAAAGCGAATCGCATTATTTAACGTTTCAGGTATACTACCACACTACCGTCGAATAAATGGATAAACGCCATCAGCCTAATCGCACACGGCTTGTGCTATTTCAATAGCGCAGTTAATCCTCTAATCTACAACTTTATGAGCGGTAAACTACCTTTGATTTTCATTATGTTTAAACAAATGACACCTTATCGATTGTACCGATGTACTCTAATTGAATACGAATCCATCGGATTGCAATGTATTTTCTCAATCATTCTTTCACAATCTTATCGATAATCTATTTGTATTGTTTCAAAATTTTACCAACATCTGCTGTTAAGCGACTTTCTATCGATTTATGTTACAACAGCGTACTCCTACTATAATGTCCAATTATAATGTTTCATTGACCAGAAAATAATTTAAAGGCTTGATACAATTCAGCTAATGCAAATAATTTGATAAGACTGCTGACAAGGATAGATCGATGTCACGATACTTCTTGTGTAAATGAAACAGGGTGATCCATTTCTACCTGTAAATACAAGTGTCTTGTGTAACATGTGAGGGTAATTTGCCACACTTGTTGAATCTATAACGAATCTAATTATTTATAATTTCACATATACAAAGTATGGTTAAATATTTTAATTGACTTCTGATGAAAAAATTGTCTTCCGTCTTCCAAATATACATATAGATTCAAAATTAATCACTCTGTTTTGAAAAATCAACTGCACGTTTAACAATGTCATTACTTACAATTAGTGTATTCCGAATTCATTGCAAAACTTAGAGTTTATCGGAGATAAACTCTTCTCATAACCGTTAATAATATTCACTCCCTTGGATATTTCTATTTCGTTGAAGAACTTTATAATTAAATAAAGCAACGTTTCACCATTTAACTGATAATGACCTTGTTGTTTCTAACATCTAGTTTGTATTTCAAAATGATACAAAAATTCAAACAGGATAAAATCTATCGTTGTGCCATTTGATTCGAAAAATTTTTATGACTGATTTTTTTTCGTGCTTCTTGATCAGCAAAAACAAACATGTTTAAATGCAAGGTGTCTCTGAAATCGTTGTATATCCGGTCAAAGGATAATTGGTAAATTTTTTAAATTCTCAATTTCAATTTTTCTTATTTGCAGATATGTTGTAAAGTGCATTTTGCCCGAAGCAAGTTAAATTTATTCATTGTCAGATATAAGTGACTAAAATTGAAATCGTATATACATATATTTGAATAGAATTATGATTCTGACGGTAGTACAGTATGATTAGATAAGATTAAGTTAAATTTTCTATCTGGAACTCAAATTTTAGCATACAAATGGATACTATTATTTGGAATATTCGCTTCTGCGACATATCCGAAAACAAAACAAAAAATTGGAATTGAGGCCCGTTTTATTAGAGTTCTATCGCATAATTCTACATGTAAAAATGAATTGGAAACGGACATTTTCTCATAGAGATCTCGTTTTTGTAAAAATCGAGTTTAAAAATTTGTCAATTACACTTGAATCTGACTAATTTTAAGTTGAACACGAGAGAATAATTGATATTAAGATATTCCATGTACGAAAATAAGTAAAAAATGTCAAATAAGATGTACATCAAACTAATTCTTAACTAAATCAAAATGTTCGAAAATGAAGTTTTTTTCTTAAAAATGAAGCTTTAAACCAGAATTAACCAAATTCATTCATATGTCACTTGACAAATTCTCAAACTTGATTTTCTTAATATAAAATCTTCAATGACAAAATATTATTCCATTTCTACACCTTATTTTACATGCAGAATTAACCTCCTGCTGGCTGTACTGCAATTTCAAGGACATTTTACATATTTAAAAATTTCAAGATATTTTTACTTCGTGAGGAGAAAATATGCCTGTATTTCCATTTTAATAATTCCTGGCGTGCAAAGAAATCGGAAATAAAAAAAATAAGACGGTGAGAGCAAAAGGAGATATTCAGCGTGTGGTTTGCAGTTAAGTTCCGGCGGGAGTTTGGTCGTACATTCCGAGAATGCACCCCTTTGAACCCCTCGAACGGTCACAGGCCAAACCAGCAACCCAGCCACGTTTGCATGGCAAATGAATATCGATCAACAACGCAAAGTCGTCGTGAACAATTCTGACATGCGGAAATGCGAGTCTCTTGGGTGAAAAAAGTCCCTAATGTCGTGGAAGGAGCTCAAGCTGAAAACGAATTTGCCCAGGATCTATGTAGTCTTGGATTTTATCCACCGCAGTCTCAATTACGCTTAGGGTGAGCTATATTATATTCCACAGTTATTGACCACTTTACAGAACCGATTTCCATGATCCTCCTCATACTTTTCACTTTAATTTAGACACTATGCATAACTGACCATCAAAAAGTACTAATCTTTCAATTTCTTTTCTTTACATTTCAGTACACACGAACGATCTATCGATTAATTGATCTATTGATTAATAATTACTTATGATACAATCGAGACAGGCCATCTCGATAAATGATTTTACTTTTTGCAAAAGTTCTAGTTACATATCTAATATTTAAATCATCATTCAAGAGTTCAGATTTAAGAATTAAGGTGTATGCTTGAAACAATGGTCGATAACAAAATATTATATAGCTTACCCTTTTTGTCAAAGTCGAAAGTGTTGTTAAAGTCATAATGAAAGCCGCGAGATCAAACGATATTAACGGCGTTAATCCTAATTGTAGCATTATACCTCGATCAAAGTTTTATAACAGTTCTTTCTTTGAAATCAGTACAAACTTAAAACAATACAAATTATTTAATTCCTATCTACAATACTTGTCGGTACATACACGAGCCATGTACCTATAAAACGTTATAGATGTTCGATGATTAATCAAGGGCTTTTATTACAGGGAAATTTCGGAAGGAGTTTAGGCGTACATTTCGTTGTAGTCGAGAGAATAGTACTCGTATGCAACGCGGATATCTTGCAAGCACGTCTAATCTTCCACGAATTAAATCTCGAACCATGACGATACGAACAACGTTCAAGAATAACAATAACCTTCAACGAAATACCGAAATCATACCTCTCAGTGCTATAACCAGCGTTCAGCAAAACGAAAAACACGATTAATTGTAAACATATACACCAATGATTATGACTATCAAACGCGCAGTAAGATTCACAAGTAATTTATTTACATGTAATTTGAACTTTAATACTAAGATATATGATATTAGATAAATACAACAAAAACGCCGTGTCCCATTTGATAGTATTTTAAATAACTAAAATACTTGTAAAAATCATTATACCTAGTTCCGAAATTCATAAAAATTGGTAGACACTGAAAGTTCCACTGAAAAATGGAATCGTTTAATATAACGAAACATTGAACTATGTAAAATGTACTTACAATATTAAAAATTACTGGAGAAAAGCTCGATGTTTATTCCCGCAGAGCGTGAACTATAACATAGGCACGTACGAATTTGTAAATCATTCTTTATAATAGAATGATTCCATTTAGAACTATTATATATATATAATTATATATATATATATATATTGAACAATACGATATCGCCGGGCGTGCTGACAAAATTGTATGTAAAAAGTTTATTAAGATATATATACTATCGCTATGTCATAAATATGTGATGCAAATCTCATATTCTGTACACTGCTACTAGCACATCATGTAATCTTAACGGAACTTATCTTTAGTTCGCAAAAATTACATTTTTACCGCATACAATTGTTTAATTTAACGATCAGTTCCACTATTTGTATGATCTCATCACTATAAACGAGAATTTTATACGCGTAAACGTTAATTAATACATCCATATATTTGAAGTTTATGTGAAACTGAATAAGTTAAAAAGAGGAAAATAAATTTAGTCATATATGGAAAAATTTCTTATCAATATATTATCTTTCCATTCCACCTTGCTAGAAAGCATGACTTTGTAAGCGTATTGAAAGAAAAAAAAGAATTATCGTCAGTTTAACTTTTCGTAGTTATTACGAAAAGCAGAATAGAATTTATCAATGACAAATTTAATAGTTAGTATCAACTTCGTTTTAACTAGATTTTAAGATACACTAAATTATGTAACGATCATTTTCTCATGGTACATGCAGATCAAAGATTTCTTTTGTTCTAGTGTGAGTAAAATTAAAGCATTAAGTAGTGGTACTTTATCTAATAAATGTACTTCATTCACCCATCATTTACTTAAAACGCGGTACAAACTTGTTTGCACACCAAAAACATAATTACTGACCTGACTATATCCTATTTACAGTAGCCGTTGTATTAAAAAGATATATCGATTTATTAATTATTTTACCAGTCGATGCTGCATGCGTTAATATTCGATATACAATAATACGTTTAACACTAGTTTTATCTACTAATAATTCATTATTAGTAGATTTCATATATGAAAGGAGATTAACAATATAGGATGACGTTTAATGACAGCAGCAAATCGATGGAATTCGTAGCGAAACATTAATACAAATGTGAACTACGAAATATACAACAATATGCTGAAATTAGATAGTCATTCAAAATATGTTTTACAGACACGCATACATCCAATTCCTAAAGTATTTCACAAATGATTCGTGAAGATCATTTTGTCATACAAAATGCATAGTAACGTCAACGAAATTACACAGCTTTTTTATAATATATGCATACTCACGAAATGTCACGATTACGTCTTTCGCAAAAAAAATTACACGCTGTGCGATGTCCTTTCAAGCAGTTGCTTCTCCAACAACTGTACTTTCAGTCGTTGTGTTTTCAATTTTGTTTGAATCGTTTTCAGGCTCTTCAATGACTGGTTCTGTAGTTTTAAGCGGAATAGCATCTTCCTCATTAATAGTAACTTTTGATAAATCATTAGCACTTATATCGTCTAACTGATCGGTAGTGGTATCTTCTAAGTTCACTGGTACTTCGATATCGGGATTTTTAATATCTTTTTCGGTATTTTCAACCACAGGATTCGTTATTGCACTCAAATCGTCTGTTTTCTCTGTTTCCTGAATTTCCGGAGCCTGTTCGATTTGCGTATTATCGAACTGTTCCGGCACAGTCTTCTGATCACCTTCCACCGAATTACTTTTAACTTCTTGTTCAGTCTGTTGTGCATTACCATGTTGATTTGTTTGCTGTGGTTGTGTACTTCTACCTCTTCCTCGACTAGTTTGATGTTGATTCTCAGGTGGTGGAAGAATTGGAATAGCCGCTTTTGGTCGTCTCATTGGAGCTGATTGCTGTTGTTGCTGTTGTTGCTGTGCTGGACTATAGTAAGTACAACCCTGTGGCTGAAACAGTTCTTGTGGAGGTGGAGGACGCTGTGGCTAGAAAATATCAGTTAGAAAATGTGTATGACAATTTTTTGATAATATAATTTTAAAGCTTTTAAGGTGGAAAAATATACCTGCACTGGCGGGGTATATCCTTGATAACCTTGGAAATTTGGTTGAAATGCTGGTCCATTTGGACCAGGAACATAATTAATTATGCTAGGTGGTGCAGTCTGTGGAGAGATAAACTGTGGCGGTGGAACTAAAAATGGCGGTGGAGCATAGCTGGCAGGTTGACCATTAGGTGGTATAGGAATCACTGGTTGACCAGCCATAGGTGCAGTTGCAGTAGCAACAGACGTAGTTTGTTCAAAATGTCCCTGCGGATATCCTGACAAAATTCAAAAACATAACATGACAAGTGCATAAACATAATTAAGAAGAAACATGACATATGCAGACATAAATTATGTCTACTTAACAAAAAAAAAAAAAAAAAAAAAAAGAAAATAAATACAAAATTATACACACATTAAAATAACCTGCATTCTTACCTTGTGAATCTAAAACACCCCTTGAATTTCCAGCTAAATACATATACATATATAAGTTAGATATTAATGCAGGATATTTAATATATTTATATTGATTATTCATAAATGTATTTTATGAACAATAATATTTCTGAATATATTTTATTTTATTACCTTGAGGAGAAAAATATCCATGTTGACTATGCTGACCATGTTGAGTGTGTTGATTATGTTGATTGTGTTGATTGTGTTGATTATGTTGATTATGTTGATTATGTTGACTGTGTTGATTATGTTGATTATGTTGAGTGTGTTGTCCATGTTGTGCAGAATAATTTTGTTGTCCTGGATTATCCGAAATAGTAGATCGTTGTCGCAAGCTGGAATAACGTTTTGGCCTATTAGCAGAGCCATCTTGTTGAATTGATTGTGGCTGTTGTTGCGATTGTTGCTGTTGCTGTGAATGAGATTGTTGTTGCATTCTTGGAGGTACTGTTCCCAATCTCTGTTGATTTGAGGATTGTCCATAGAAGCTTTCTAAAAAAATATCAAAAAACAAAGAACAGTGCATGAACAATTGTACAGATAATATTATTATGATTATAGATAATGTTATTTATGATTATGTATAATACAATTATACACATAAATTATGTATATGATTTACAAATACTTACTATTATGTCTTCCACTTTGATGATACTGAGTACCATCGTTAACGCTAATGTGTTTCATATCATGAGTAATTTGTTGTTCATCATCATTCTGTATATTATTTCTCTTATTTTCAGCAGTAATAGGTCCAGCCCCACGTCCCTTTGGTTTAGTCTCAACTGTTCTATTGGTGACCATATTGTTATTAGCATTTGTTCTGAATCCTCGTCCACGAGTTCTACTCGCTGCTAAGCTTACAGACTCTTGAATGTTCCTTTTGTTATTATCTCTTGGAGATGCTTTCGCATTAACTAATTTATCTGCGTCACCGCCAGCTCCACTATTTCCGTTACTACTCTGAATATGGGACGAATGTTTAGTGTCCTTTTTCCAAGCTGGATTTGTAGGCTCATTAGGAGCCTTATTTTCATTTCTATAAATCGAAATACTAAAGTAGCCAAATAAAACTTTATTAAATATATTTAAATAAAACAGTCTGATAAAAAAATATTACATACGTATGAGTATTAGATGTATTGCTAGATTTTGTTTTGTGGCTATCACCTTGGGCTTGTAGCGGTGGAAAGTTTTGTATTTTATTCTGAGATTTATTTTTACTACTGTACCAAGCTGATGAAATTACTGGTTCCTCTACATGTGTAGAAGCATTTTTATTCGTTCCTAGAGCAGGAAAATCTTCTCCACTTTTATTAAACCTTTTGTTTCTAGTTGAAACATTACTTCCAGGTTTCCCATATGCATCTTCATCTTCCCAATTACGCGTATACTTATTAGGACCACGACTAAAACATATAAAGCACATGATATAAAATGTTACAAACACTGTGATACTTTTAAAAATATACCTACCCATATCTTCTTCTTCTTCTAGCTCTGGGTGGACCTTCTTCATTTCTTATGTCATAACCATAAACAGCTATTAATTCTTCATGGCTCTTTGGTGCTTGTTCTTCATCGTTATATCGATCATGATCCCATCTATCTTCTTTATCCTTCCAAACTTTTTTTTCTTTGGTTTCCCTCTCATTTTGTGATTCAGCTGCATTATCTGTCACTTCATCAATGGTTCTATCATCGTGTTCATAAAATGTTCCCCTCTTAGGAATATATTGTGGATTACGTCTGTCCTCGTCATCATCTAACTTTTTCTGTGGTTTTTCTTCTTCTTGACCATCTCCACTCTCTCGTAGTGCACCATCTTGAGATTCAGCATCAGAGTCAGAAGGATAAATATCACATTCTGAATCCTGATGACCATCGGTTTGCTCGCTGCTCTATAGAAAACAAAAAAATTCATAAAGAAAGTACAAGGAAATAAAATAGAATTATAATAAATTAGGTAGCATTCTAAGGTTAAAAAATTGTAATTGAAATTTTTGCAGACATGGAAGAGTATGTTTTATTAAGATATAATATACAAAATAAGTTTGTTTGAACTTTGATATGCGTCGAAATTGAGACATTCATAAAACCACTTGCCGGTACATCGAACACAAAGGAAATCTCAGTAGTTACGATTAGACTCAAAAGTATTACAGCAGTTTACTTAATCCACTTAATCGGGTTTTCCAGCGAACTTTCGATCCAGTTTGACGAGAAGCAAAACATTCGATAAACAGCAAGAGCTCAGAAATCGTAAAAAAGATGGCAAAATTATTTGTTCAAAATTCTCGGAATATCTAATTGAAAACACCTTTGTTGCAGCTAACCTGGGTTTCTTTCGTTGCGTTTAACTCCTCGCAAGAATCCGAAAGGTCATCAGAACCACAAGACTGGTTAGATTTCCGTCGTCGTCTTGTATCCGACATTTTATTTCAGTTGGAAGTACACGTTACCGAATTATCACAGATTTTCTTCTACAAAATGTGAATAAATGGTCAACGCCAAATGACTTTTAAGGTCGAACTAGTTTAAGCCTGTTTCTACTCCGACCAGTTCCCGATCTCGATTCTCGGTCACGAATCACAGGCTAAACGTATCACTATCGAGAAGGCACACCAAACTTGTGAAATTTCAACAATAGAAACGATTTCGTCGAATCGCTGTCAGTTTAGTCAGTAGCAATGGCGGTTCTACAGACTTTCGAACGGGAGATCCCTTCTCCTGGACCGTGCTAAGTTACTAGTAATTTGAACAAAAAGTATCCTACCCATCTATTTATATAGCATCGATATTTTGTTCTTTCTCCCTTTTTCTAAATTAATTAATCTATTTAAATGGGAATTATCCAATTTACACATAGAATCCATGAAATAATATTTAATTAGTTACCGCGGGAATTCGAATTTCTATGCGTTGTAAGCGCCATCTACGAACTTTTTAATTGGTTATATGTGTTGCACTTAATCTCTTCTAGATAGGTACGTATACCTGATTTATCGGACCCTGAGCTTTAAGTTTCAAAGCAAAATTGTTCTGTTCCAGATTTATGAAGAAGAATTCAACTTGAAATGAAGAAATCATTATAAATGACTATTTTTGTTTTTAAATATTCTCCATTTTATATATATATATATATATATGTATATATTATATTTTATGGCACTAAGATTGGCGTAAAAAAATAACACGTATACTGTTTACGTGGTATAAAATTACTGGCACTTGGACGTAATTTTAAGTGTAGTGTCAATCTCTCAAGAAAGTCATTTTAACGAGAACATTGAAACGTTTATTAAAGTAATAATAAGAGTAAAGAGTAAAATTTAAACTATTTGAAAATTAGTCATATAAATATAACATAATACTTTCGTCTAGTACAATCGGACAAATATTTTTTAACCATCAAACAGTGATACGAAATAGATTTTGGTCTAGACATCGTTGTCGTCATAAGCCTGAACATATCGTACATATTGGCTAAAGATATGATGAAATAATTGTCATTTCACATAAAAATGTGGACATACTGTAGTGTTTATAATGTACTGTGTATCATAGCTATAGTGTATGGACACAATTTCAGAAGTTTTGATGATACTGTTCTTTTTAAAATCAACTGGCCTGGTAAAGCTAGCTCGGATTTATTGGTAAGTATAACTTGAATTAAAATGTAAATTAATAATCGTTTTATCATACTTGTATTATATTTTATTTATTATGTATAATAGGAGTCTAGAACAAATGTGGAACCTTATATTATAACAACTGCGAATAAAGAACGGTATCAATGTTTAATAGTTGATAATTCAGAGCAAGAGCAAAATTATAATGAACCATACAGTGGACCAAATCCAATAGAAATTTTATCACCACTATTTAAACAAAATACTTGTTCTTACAGAGTATGCATTATAAATGTTATAGATGTATCATGCATAATTTCAGTGTAAATAGATTTGTTTTGTAGGTTGAATCTTATTGGTCGTATGAATTATGCCATGGACGATATGCACGTCAGTATCACGAGGACAGAGATGGAAAGAAAGTGAAGACACAAGAGTACTATTTAGGTACTTTTGATAAATTGCAAGAGTTAAAGCTTCTGGCTGAATATGCCGAAAGAGAAGAGACTAGGAAATCAGATATACCAGTTAAAAAGGTTGATGGAATCAATATGCCATATGTTGAAATTGAAATGAGTGATGGTACAATTTGTGATCTAACTAATAAACCACGAAAGATAAAAGTTCTTTATGTTTGTTACCAACACGGAAAACATGAGTTGTTTTCATTAGAAGAACCTTCTAGTTGTGAATATGAAGTTATTGTCCTTTCACCTTGGCTATGTAATCATCCTGACTATAAGCCACAAGCTACAGGGGAAAATGAAATTAATTGTCATCCAGTTGAGAATGCACCAAAAAAGCCTAGATCTCTTGTTGCGATGGAAATGGAAAGTCTAAAACTTCGATATCAAAAAGTAACGGTAAAGCTATCTTCTTTGCGTTCTTTGTATTCAGTTATTTATTTCTGATTATGCTTGTGCTATTTGTATATATTGTTATTTAAAATAAAATATATTACTTGTGTATTTTCTGCGTGTATATTAGTAATAATTTTTATTATTGATTTATATGAAACACATGCAAGATATTTTCAAATAACAATAGATCATAGTAAAATAAAGTCCATTATTGTGCTATGCACTTTGTCAGTATAAAATATTATTTTATTCAGTTGTAGAAAACTGCATTGATCATTGTTATAGTTTATTTATCTAAATGAGACACTTTGACTTTACTAAATTTCAAGATTTTTAAAATAATTTTGGCTTACACTTTTAAGCCATATTATTCTCTTTTATGTTAAACAAGTTTTTGCTTGGATTATTTGTTATCTATACATTGAATTAATTATTTGTTGCACAGGATGACAAGCTGCAGGAAGTCTATGCAATCTTCCATGTAGATAAGGAGGGCCAGGTCAGAATATTTTGTATTTTTGGGATCAGGCCAAAGTGCTTGGTGGTTCTTGTCATTTGTCGCCATTAATTTGTATCTCATTCTGTCCCTTCCTTTTCTACATATAATTACTCCCTTTATATAACATTATGAATGCTATTTATGCACCATTATATCTTTAGCTTTACAATATTCACTGCTTTACTTGTTCACAGCTAAATTTACAGTATTTGTCATTCTTGCGTTAAATATTATTTTTATGTAAGAATCAATCACGTCACAAAACTCTATATGACATATATATTATCAAAACAAATATTATAATATTAAAAAGTTATAAAGTCGCAATTTAATAGTAAATAAAATCGATTTTGTGCAATAATATCGTGAATTAAAGAATGAATGATCTATTGCACACTTATGTTTTTAACAAATTCATAGAATTGATATTAACATTGATAGCTATTCTCATGAGAATGTTTATTTTGCGTATATAATAATTAAAAATTTAATTGATTTGTATTTATTTCAGGATGGTGAAGCACGTGTTAGAGTTGAAATACATCCTGTTGGTGTTATTGATAAACATAATAATATTGAAGATTCTATAAATTCGTTAGCAGATCAAGGTATTAGTCCAGCGGAAGTGAGTCCCGTAAAAAATTTCCTTAGCGGAAAAAATTGTTTACATGGAGTAGGTATTGTACTTCTGACCATATTTTGTAATTTTGTATTGTATACAATGATATATAATTATTGTAAACAGGGCAATGGATGGTGGAAGTACGAATTTTGTTATGGACGCTCTGTGGTTCAGTATCATATAGAACGCGATGGTAAAAAAACCATAGTAAATCTTGGTAAATTTGATAAGCAGAAACATTTGGAGTGGATTGCTGCACACCCACATAAGAAACCAAAGTCTCCAGAATTGCGGAAACAACTTTCTCATTTTTATAGCGATGGTACTATTTGTGATAAAACTGGCAATCCAAGACAAACGGAGGTATTATATGCATCAATGTTTTATAGAGTAATTTTATTTCTTTTTATACGGAACAATTTATATAATTATCATAATTTTCGTAATTTCCAGGTAAAATTAAAATGTGTTGAAAGTCATACGGCCAGTCCATCGAGTGTTTCTCTTTTTCTAGTCGAGCCGAAAACATGTGAATACGTTCTAGGTGTTGAATCGCCACTGATCTGTGATATTTTAGAATATGCCGATGAAAATGGACTTCTTAGTGAAAAATTTGAAGTAAATTTCGAGAAACTGAAAACAAGCGCTTTTCACGAATATGACGATTTGGACGAAAGGATAGCAAACGGAGACGATTAGAATGTCATTCAACTTATAGATATTAGTTGCGAAACAAAATTTCTAGTGATAAAAAAAATAACAGTATTAACATTTCGGACACATTGCATTTACTTTCACTAAATTAAATAAAAAGATTCGGATTTTTTTTAATATTCAATATATGTCAATATACAAATCTTATGCTTCAAAAGTTTTCAGACATTTTATAATACATATGTAAACATAACAATTCTTTAAAACATATAGTGTTGTTAACACGTTATTATGAATTATTGAGCCACAGAGATTGTAACATTTACAAAAACATTTTCACTCTAAGATTTTGAAAGGAATAATTACAATCTCCTATATTAATTTCTACATCATTGGATTATTTCCTACCATTCGCGTGACAAACCACATCATTGCTTATCATTGTCCGATGTTGAGGCCGACCCCCACACGAAATTGCTGCTTCTTGTGATTTAAAAGCGCACTAATAACCAGCGAGGATTCTGGAATTGGGTATAGTTTCTTTTCGAACACACCACCAACCGTAGTCTCGGAATTCACGATACCGCGGAAAACAAGATCCGCGTATGGTACATTTACTTGGTAAACTATAGTAGCGATTGATTGATGAGTTCTCGTATTTGTTTCTAACTCAACTCCGAGTTCCAATTGCGAACTAGCTTTCCGATGATAACAAAGATGAAGACCCGCTTCACCTATCGTTCCGGATAATGTCGTAGGTCCTGTACTATATCTAAAAGCCATGCACATAATTGTCTGTTGACCGCCCGGAACCTTCGAGCCACGAAGGCATGCAATCTCGGCTCCTAACGCGATTCTCGACGTGATCGATTGTAAAAAGTGTATTACTACTGTTCCTTGCCTTTTTGTAAGCTTTGGGTTGGCCAGGGTCACCGCTACCGTAAAATCATTCGAGCGATACTCCAAGCTGGAACTTGACGCTTTCCATTTTCCGTCAGCAATTTGCGCCGATAATTTATACCTAAATCTACATCCAAGGGTATGCACAAAAGACGCAGTCAAATTTCCATTTGGCGTGATATCTCCAACGACTATGGGATATCTTTCTTTCAAACTGACCAGCTTTGTACCGACGTATTTTGCGCCGAATTTATATCCAGACGGTGTAACGGAACTAAGAGTTATTGAATGCGTTACGTTAAAATGGTCACTAAGGATTTTGTTGATGATGAGTCGCGCACCTTCGAAGTTCTGCGGATAAAGATCCTTAACCTTCTTGTGTATTTCTTCGAAACTTCCTGGATTTCCTGGCGCTTTGTCTTGCGGTTCTCTGCATGGTATACAATCTTCTTCTTCGTTGGTTACTACGTTTGGTTCTTCCTGTATTTTTCTCGATGCATGTATTATACCCATCGTAATACATTAGGATTTCTTAAAGTATTAATTGGAAAATTTTCTTCGAGTACTTCTTAATTTTATGCTTAGCAATAACATACGAATAAAATTAATTCTAACGTAAATCTGTTATTGTATGATCTTCTCACCAGTTTCAAATTTGAAGAAATCGATATATTTGATCTCCGCGATATTAATCGATGTATCCGACAAATTTAACATATCAAACTAATGTGTACATCGATTGTGCGCATTCGATATATCGATTCTTGACACAATTTTAGTATTAGATTTCGTTACTAGATGGCTTTCATCTCAAGCCACATATCAATGTTTAAAAAAATTTTGTTTTGCAGAGGATTTTTTAATGCAATTATCCTAGTTTAAATGTTATATTCTACTACAAGATTATTATTAGGTGTATAAATAATTTTCGTCTAAAATTTAATAATATATGATGTACTAAAATGGAACCTGTTTTCTCGCTAGTTGTTAAATATCGGTCGCTTCCTTTATATACAAGAATTAAAGCGTGATACTTTCGGAAGTGTGTGCTAGTGATGGCACAGCTGAACATTGATCGCTAACGTAGAAATATGGCAGATCTGCTCAGTGGGTGTTGTCACGTGGTCGCTTCAAGTAGCTTGTGTTCGGCTCCCGATTGCGCGTGTAGGTTCGAGGTGTTTTATTCACCTCGGATTTGCACGCCTGCACGGTTGAGTCTTCACGTCGCTCCTCGAACTACCGCGATTTCCAAATTGGGGGGCAATCGAATAGGTCAGACGAGGTTAAATTTGTCGCTTCCATATACAGGCACTGCAGATAAGCAGTATGCCATGTTTTTTTTTATTTTATTATTTTAGAAATTTTATCTAACATACTAATGATTATTTATAAAATAAAATGCAGGAAAAAAATGATCACACATCATTTGTTAACTTTATTTTTATTATAAAAACTACAAAAATTATGTAACAAGTTTCTTTTGCGTCTCGCTATTTACTTCAGATGTAACCTGAGTAAAAAGGAGATTCCAGTTCCATACTTCATCCGGCTCTTTCGTCAAATTTTCGTTGTACAGTTTCTCTGCCAGAAGAGAAAGATTAACACCATTTAGAGACGTGAACGCGGCATTCTTCACCAAGTCCGTGTCAAGTTCTTTGTACGCGGTGACTCTGTTCACATTTACCCTACGGGAATATCAAATGGAATAATTCAATAAAAGCTTTTGCAAAAACTTTACAACGATACGTACATTGGTGTATTTATGTTAGATAAAGCATTATCCTCTTGAATTTCATCCAAATCCGGTATGACAGGAATATCTAATAGTAAGAATATAATTCCGCTGTCAGTAAGTTTTTTACATGTTTGTTACAACGGTTTGAAACGAATTCTTACCGTCGATCACATCGTCCTTCTCCGTCCCTCGAAAACGTTCCCTAAGAAACAGTCTATCAGCGACTACAAATGCCTGATTCTTTAACTCTATCTCGTTATACTCACTGTTCGATGATACTCGATGCACCACGTGTTCTAAAATCATTACCAAAACGAAGTACGTGAAAACTAACTAAGGCATTTCCATAAATGAAAATTGATGCACAAATTGTACCTCATACAACTTACTTCCCGCTTTTCAGCTCATCACCCCATCCAGTTTTTCTAGTACGCGGAGGTGCTACAGGTGGCTGTGCCGATTTCACAGAGGATGACGATATAGAACTTTCCAACAGATCATCGTCAAATTTAGGTTCTTCTTGCACGACACTTTGCGTCGATCTTCTACCAAGGCGAGGTAAAAGCTAAAAAATCAACGTTTCTTTTAATTCAGCCGTTTTGCTACCGACAACGGATACAAAACGGATATTTAAGTATGTATCTACCTTTTTCGAGGTGATTTCTAAATCCGCAGCCCAGTCCATAGTTGCCTACCGAGTTTGAATATTATAAGTTTAACTTGTTATTAGAGGCAAACGGAACCTGTGTTTGCGAGCAGTAACCATAACGACTGAACGGTCTGATGGCTCACGCGGTTGAATCGACTTTACTCGTCCCTGCATTCGCTTTGCTCCCTCTCTTTCGTTCAGAAAGTAGCGCGAGATACGTGACTGGAAACGCGCCAGTGGCACGCTCGAAACCGGTTTAAGCGATACTCCTCGTTTTAAGCGCGTCTTTTTAAATGTCATATTTTTGAGAGTCGATGATGTTTGGCGATGAGAAAAGAAGGGATGAGGAAACGTGTAAGAGAAAAGGAAAAGGAAAGTCATGTATTTCCTCCAGAATTTGTCAATGAACTCATCCGTGAGATTTTTTTCTAGTAAATTCATATCTTAGCCACAGGAATGCGAAAGATTGATGAATGACCATTCTACCGAGAAACTAGCGTAAGAGTCTAGAAATAAGTGAAAACAGCAATACCAATTAAATTAATCCGCGATTAATTGACCGGTTAATTGACCAACGATTAAATTAACAGCAATGTGTTTATTTCTTATATTTCTATACAAACCCTATACAAACGTTCTTCAGACACATAATAGTGACTCAATAGAAATATACTTTCGTTGCGAAATTATAATCCTCACAAAGCGTGGTAATTAATAATATTTGGTATCGTCGATCTGTCGTTGATACTCCTCGAAATATACTTTCGTCGCAAAATTATAAATTTTTTATCCTCACAAAGCGTAGTAATTAATAATATTTGGTATCGTCGATCTGTCGTTGATACTCCTCGAAATATACTTTCGTCGCAAAATTATAAATTTTTTATCCTCGCAAAGCGTGGTAATTAATAATATTTGATATCGTCGATCTGTCGTTGATACTCCTCGAAATATACTTTTGTCGCAAAATTATAAATTTTTTATCCTCACAAAGCGTGGT